AAAATTGTTTTTTTATAATGCAAAAGTGTGACGTCGCACCATTTGAACCCCCCTTCCCCTCCCCTTGTTGCAGGACGCGGGTTTGTTCACACTACCGCTTAGACGCCCTTGAGCGTGCTGTATGAAAGCGTTGAGTGTACATTAACCCTTTGAGCCCGCTAGGCCGGTAAACCGGCTTCAACATTAGGCATATATGTCAGAAAAGCCGGTCTTCATATTACTAGTGGCCGGTATACCGTCTAATTAAATATAATTAGCGGAAGAAAACTGTCAAAATTTCATGTCAGTTTTACTTTCTTGTATATACGAAGTATTGAGAAAGTATTGTAATCGTGCATAAAAATAACATGAAATTTTGACAGTTTTCACAGTTTTACTCCTCAGTCCTCCATCACATCCGGAGTATAGAGGACTTATTTTAATCAGTTAAAAAATTATAAATACAAATATATAAACGTTTTGGCGTTTTATGCGTTATCGAGTCGTAAAAACTGGACTTTGCAATTCTGTCCGTATGTCTGTCTGTGTGTAAACACGATAACTTGAGTACCGTTACAGCTAGGTTGATGAAATTTCATATATAAGTATTTTATCAAAATCGTAGATCCTGAACAAATTTTGAGCGATTTCCGATAACCGGAAGTGGTACTTTTTCTACTTTGAATTTTTCGAAAGCCTATAAGTTGCGTACTATTTTAGATGAAATTTCACACGTAAGTAAAAGATCTAATTCTCGACCTTCTATTTAATGTTGAGTAGTTTCCGTTGACCGTAAGTAGTAATTTACGCTATTTCCGATTTCTCAAAAAAACGCATGTAAATTTATAAAGGACTAATAATATCCCACACTCCCGCACTTTTATACACACTTTATTAGGCGTTTACTTGGTGTGAGACGGAGTGGTCTAGCGGTAGAGAGCTGGACTGCTAACCCGTTAGTCTCGAGTTCGAATCCGAATTCAAGTCAGTAGACCGTCCCTGAGTCCACCCAACTTTGATGGGTACCTAACTCCTGTTAGGGAAAGTAAAGGCGGCTGGGCATAGTGCTGACCACACTATCTCTTCATATGCCTTGGTCACAGAAACAAGTGAACCCGTCAGGTTTGAAAGGGAAACTTTTCACTTGGTGTGCAATTCTTTTTTTACGAGATTCTATTCTATTATAAAAAGTAATTAAAAATGGATAACAAATATTGTCTATGTCCTGAGTTGCCATCCCTCGTAATTTTATATTAGAATATTCGAGAAAGTGTAGGGGAGATCACTCCCCGTTTATTTTGCACGATTACAATACTTTCTCTATACTTCGTATGTACGAGAAAGTAAAAATGAAGTTGAAAGTATGTAAAGTATAGTTGATAAGTTAGGTATGTAGTCCTGAGGTACCTCTTTCTTTTCTAAACGTGGTACGGAATTGAATCTGCCCTTCATCGTCCACAAATAAAGTCACTCTTTTTTACACACATTCCCCCCCCCCCCTCCTCTCATCCATAGCTTATCCTCATTGTTGCCAGACGTTTTTCCAGACCCCGTATCCCCAAGAGTTTGTTAAATGTTGTCACAACTGGACAGTGTGGTCTAGTATGTAGTACGCCCGCTAACTAAACTAATAGTTCGGTACCTGGCTTGGTGACCGTAGGTCATCCCACGACCAAACTATCCCTCACGTTCAACCCCATGTGGCAAAATGTCGTATTTAAAACTGGTGGCAAAAGTCGTACAGAAACCCTCGTGTCTAGCGTCTGTCTACGTAGCTGTGTGAAATGCTCGATTCTTGATAACGATGCTGTTTGTTTCGTGCCAGCTATGTTCAGTTATCTAACGACACCCAAAGATTAACTCTTAACTGACATGTTTCCAATAAGTCAAAAACACTCATATATGTTGCATTGTACTGGGCTGTCTCTATCATACCGTTTACCTAGGAATTGGGAATGTTGTTTTTTTTACTCAGCCAGTTTATTTTATTTTTACTTTCTCGTATATACGAAGTATAGAGAAAGTCTTGTAATCGTGAAGAAAAAAAAAAATCGAGATTTTTACAAATCGAGTGGCGTAGCTACCTTAAAGCTAGCGTAAGCAAGGCGTAGGGGCCCAAGGCAAATAGGGGCCCTTTTCCCTCTTCAAATTTTAAAAAAACTTTTACATGGGAATTTTAATATTTGTATTATTAAAATAATTTTAAAAAGAAAACGGAAATCCAGTTTCTTTTCTACTGTAGGAGTAATTTAAAAAGCAAAAAAAAGGCCCCCAAACCTTTCTTACTGGGGAGGGGGGGTGGGTTGTACAAGGCCCATCGGTATCAATAACACTATTTGCATTGCTGCATTGTCGGGCGAGCCTCAAATAAGGAGATTTTCACTCGCGGTCATCGTTTAGCCCTCGTAGAGGGCTCTGAGTTAAACCGACAGTTTTCCCAAAAAGCCAAGCCATTTACATAGGAGCATGCAAAAAAAAAAAAAAAAGCCAGATAAACAGAGGGTAAGTGCCCTAAAATGCGTGCTGAAATTACCCTGTTTTTTCCCCATAAAATACAAAGATTATATAGGGAAATACGATTGGTCAGTTTTGACCCATTTGCAGATTTTTCCCGGATGTGGCGAGTTTTTTCTGACACCCCTAGGTGTTCTCCTACCACCTCACAAAATATCAAGGGGGGTCGTTCAGCAAGAATTGTTTTCGTTAATAGCTTAAATAAGGAGATTTTCACTCCCGGTCATCTTTTAGCCCTCGTCGAGGACTTTGAGTCAAACTGACAAATTATCCGTACGGCCAAACCATTTACATAGGAGCATGCACAAAATTAGTAGTAACCTTGACTCTGAAGGACGCAAATCAACTGATCTCGTGCACTCTGGGTAACTCGGGGCGACCAACCGTAACTACTGCTGATGCGCTAGATGACACCCCGTATTCGATTCAGTAATCGATTTTAGTATCCCGACGTATCCCTAGTGTAGTATGGCGCTCATTAAAACGGATGTAAGTGCTGTAGTGCTCATGGGGGAGCCCGGGGCGCACCGTGTTACACGACCGCCGGCGTGCCGACTGATGCACCCGTGCAATTTGACCACTGAATCAAGTAGTAACGCTGACTTGCTACGCCAGACACCCAATCAACGGACCCCAGGTGCAAAGATAGCAGCTGGAAAACTCTAAGTGGCAAACCGCGCCGACTTACTGCCGGAGCGCCGCCCTCAGAAATAAACTAAAAAATGAATGGCAGAAACCTTCCAAAAAGTCAGAGTTTCTTTATGGCACCTTTTCAGAAAAAAAAATGTCTGGAAATAAATTCTTCCTTTGGAATATTCTCTACGACTTCCCAAATTTTCTTGGCGATTAGATGAAAACCAAAAACGTATAGTGTTAATAGCGCCATATTGATTAAAGATTAATTAGATCAACAAATGAAATTTCCTTAAGTTAAAGAAAAACATTGACAAATGTTGGATTCAGCTTGTTGTGAAAACACTGTTCATGGTTATTTTTAAAATGGCTCAGTTGTGATCATGGATGTTTTATTGTTTAGTAATTCTCTCAATGGCAACGCCTGCAATAATATTGTAACGGATGGGCCCTATTCGAACCCGCCCATTGAATCCCACTACTTATTGTAAAGTAAAATAGCCTTTTTGGAACTTTAAATTATTTCTACAATAGAAAAGAAACTGGATTTTCATTTTCTTTTTAAAATGCCTTGCTTACGCTAACATTTACAGTAGCCACGCCACTGGATCAGCGGAAAAAAAAAAACATTTCGGTCGGTGATAAAACATTGGCGTCCAATTTTAGTGAGAACAGCGGTTTATAAGACGCGGTGGAAAACTTTCCCTACCCACCCCTCTCCGACAATGTGCTTCCATTACAATAGGGCTGGTAAGTAGGTCACCAACCAGTTCTACGGCTCAAAATCCTGCATGAGCCATAGAACTGGTTGGTGACCTATTTACCAGTCCTATAGCTGTAGCCCGCACGTTCAAAACCGTAACGATTAGCGTCTGACGTCATCACAGCGAGGCACGGACGGCGCAAAAAGAAAATTTACCTAAATGATAGATAAGCTCGGGAAAAAATTGTGAAGTAAAAACCACTGAACTGAACTTTTTGTTAGTCGGAAAATACTTTTTACTTCCAAAACGAAATTCCAGACTTTTTTATCCAGCCAAAAAAATATTCACTTTTCTAATATCCAGACTTTTTCCAGACTTTCCAGACTGCGTACGAACCCTGCTTGTTGAGAATCTAATAAAATAGTAGTGTAGGCCTTAGAAAACGGAATAAACGCTTTCTGATTAATTAATAGTTGAAAATATTTATTATGTCATGTCTTAAAAAAATAAAAAATTAAACATCAATAATAATCATAATAATAAATTGTACCTTCTGTCTTAAAAATTTTATAATTTTCAGCTACTTTAATTAAACTTGCTGGATTCAATTATCATAATTATGATTAACTTAACGGGTTATATAATTATTTATACAAAATATAGTTACATAAAATGCAATATTGAATATAGAAAAATTTTGAGTAAATATTACTTCAATGAGTCAAATTATAATTGTACATTTAAAATCTTGGTGCTTATTAGTGGTTAGTATTAATGTATGGGTAATGTAAAGGGTAAGAATTTAGGCATAATTTTTTCCAAAAATCCTGAACAAAGCTAGCAATAACAACTAGTACAATATAATATGATATGGTGATTTATGACATCCATTCTTTCCATGAAGTGTTTCTTCCTTTGTGTGAATATTTAAAAATTATCACATTAATTATTTTTTAATTAACTTTTTAAACTTTGAATTTCATGTTTAGAACATACATGCACACATTTTAAAAACATCAGTTACAAATAATACATTCATTTTACTTATCTTCAAAATGAAATGTCTGGATAACAAATTAATCATTAGTAATACTTTGTAGGAAAAATACTATATGAAGAGTATTATATCATGTATGACAAACAATGGTGTGTTTTCAGCCTCCACAATAATTTTATATACAGATAATTAAAGACCCTTGTGAAAAAGAATTTAATGACCAACAACACATTCAGCTGGCTTAAGCCCTGAGTGAAAATTTGTGTGTGTAGATAAACTAGACTTATGAGCAAACCTTTAATGACAAATGCCACATTCATATTGTCTCTGGTAAATGAATATTTTTATGTCTAGATAAATTACTTTTATGATTAAATTTTTTGTGACACACATCACATCCATATGGTCTCTCTGGTAAATGACAATTTTTATGTGTAGACAAATTACCTTTACAATTAAATTTTTTATGACACACATCACATTCATATGGTCTCTCTGGTAAATGAATATTTTTATGTGTAGATAAATGACGTCTACTATTAAATTTTCTATGACACACATCACATTCATATGGTCTCACTGGTAAATGAATATTTTTATGTTCTGATAGATAACCTTTATGACTAAATTTTTTGTGACACACATCACATTCATATGGTCTCTCTGGTAAATGAATGTTTTTATGTGTAGATAAATTACTTTTATGATTAAATTTTTGGTCACACACATCACATTCATATGGTCTCTCTGGTAAATGAATATTTTTATGTGTAGATAAATGAAATTTACGATTAAATTTTTTATGACACACATCACATTCATATGGTCTGTCTCCTGAATGAATCTTTTTATGTTCTAATAAATAACCTTTATGATTAAATATTTTGTGACACACATCACATTCATATTGTTTCTCTGGTAAATGAATATTTTTATGTCTAGATAAATGAACTTGATGATTAAATTTTTTATGACTCACATCACATTCATAAGGTCTATCTCCTGAATGAATATTTTTATGTTTAGATAAATGATGTTTACAATTAAATTTTTTATGACACACATCACATTCATAAGGTCTATCTCCTGAATGAATCTTTTTATGTGTAGATAAATGACGTTTACAATTAAATTTTTTCTGACACACATCACATTCATATGGTCTCTCTGGTAAATGAACATTTTTATGTTGTGATAAATAACGTTTATCACTAAATTTTTTATGACACACGTCACATTCATATGGTCTCTCTGGTAAATGAATATTTTTATGTGTGGATAAATTACTTTTGAGATTAAATTTTTTGTGACACACATCACATTCATATGGTCTCTCTGGTAAATGAATATTTTTATGTGTAGATAATCTAGATTTAAGAGCAAAACTTTTATGACAAACATCGCATTTATGTGGCTTGAGACTAGAATGGATAGTTATTTTATGTCTAGATAAATTACTCTTCTGAGCAAACTTTTTATGACAAACATAGCATTCATATGTCTTAATTCCAGAATGAATATTTGTGTGTGTGGATAAACAAGACTCTGAAGTGAACTTTTTAGACAAACTAGACTTATTGTATACCTGTTCTAGGTTTATTTTGTTAATATGTTCACCCTGACTGATCATAACAACTTCTTGCTGATAAAAATCATGACCATATGGATTCACCCTTGTGTGAATGTTTATGTGTTGTTTAACATGATCAAAATGGAAAAATCTTTGACAACACATATCACACTTGTATGTCTTCAGTCCCTTATCATTGATCTGATATTCTGTTGGGAGATTATCAATTAATTTTGTATGCAATAACTTCAGTTCTTTTAATTCATTCTGAAGATCTGATTTTAAAACTGCTAAATTTTCTTTAAAATCAGTTGAACCCAGTGGGAGAAAAAGTTGTGACTGCAATTTGAAACCATTTTGTTGTTCACTCTCCAAAGATGAAATTGTTAATATTTCAGGTTTTATATCTTCAAAAATTGAAAATGCTGTTGATATATTTGGTTTCATGTCTTCAGAAGATGAAAATGATGTTGGGTTATCTTGTTTCATCTCTTCTAAATTAAAAAAAGGCTTTGTTTTATCAAGTTTTTTATCTTCTAAAGCTAAAAATGGCATTGTTTCCTCCAAGTATTTGTCTTTAACAGTTGAAAATTGTGTTGATACATTTTGCTTTATATCTTCAGAATTTGAAAAGAGTTTTGATATATTTGTTTTTAATCCTTCTGAACTTGGAATAGCTGATATTTCTTTTGATTTCATGTCCATAAATGTAAAGATTTCGTCACTCAATTCCTGTTTAACCATAAATGAACTCTCCCAAAGTATACTATTAGTGTCCTTGGTGTTTTGCATAGCTTTAGATTGATGAATTATTGCACATAAACTGAAAATAAACTGAAAAAAAAATTATCTTCATTAGAAAACAAAATTAAAATTTCTTTTTTAAAATATATTGATTGCATTTAAAAAAATGTATAAATATGTATGTTTTAGCTTTACTATATTATATAACACCATAGAATTTTTTAAGTCATAAAAATGATCAAACAGGTCTTATTGAGCTATGGTAACATTTATTTTAATAACTAAAGTGTCTTTTATCAATCAGAAGTTTATGAATAGATAAATAGTTAAAAACAGTGTTCACGCCTTAGCACACCATGGTTGGGTGGCACAGTGCACATCTGTTAACGAATATCCCCAGAGTTTGAATCTCAGTAGGGAATCATATATTCATGTTTTCTTTGTCTTTAATAATGAAAGGGCGACTCCTTTTTTTTAATTTCTCGTATATACGAAGTATAGAGAAAGTCTTGTAATCGTGCAAAAAAAAAGTCGAGATTTAAATCTCGACGTTTTACACCTGTTTCCGAAAAACATAATTTTGCAATCTTGTCTATATGTCTGTCTGTCTGTGTGTGTGTCTGTCCGTGTGTAAACACGATTACTTGAGTACCGTTACGACTAGGTTGATGAAATTTCATATATAAGTATTTTATCAAAATCGTAGATCCGTATCAACTTTTGAGCGATTTCCCATAACCGGAAGTGGTACTTTTCCTACTTTGAATTTTTCAAAAGCCTATAACTTGAGTACTATTTCAGATAGATAAATGAAATTTCACATGTAAGTAGAAGATCTAATTCTCTACCTTCTGTTGAATTTTGAGTAATTTCCGTTGACCGGAAGTAATAATTTACGCTATTTCCGATTTCTCAAAAAACTAATGTAAATTTTTAAAGAACTAATAATATTGCGTACTATTATGCACTTTTTTATTTGGCGTTCACTTGGAGTGCACTTCTTTTGTCTACGAGATTTTATTCTATTTGTAAAACTAAGTATTTAAAATGGATTAAAAATCATGTCTATAGCCCAAGTTCCCATCCCCTGTTATTTTATATAAGAATATTCGAGAAAGTTTTGGGGAGATCACTCCCGGTTTATATTGTTTTTTATATTGTTTTTCTCTATATAATTAGTTACAGTAAAATCTACTTTTTAAAAAAAAAGCATAACATCAAACTAAAACAAGCCTGCAAAATTATTAACGAAAATTAATCTAATATTAATAGGCCTATTATTTTAATCATTTTTTAAATTGTAAATTAATAGTCCTTGATGAGATTTTTGAGAAGGGCTATGAGTCACTAAATAAGCATTAATATTAAATCAATAATATTATTATTATTAGGCTAATATATGTATATTTTGAATATTTTTGGATCTAATTTATAAAACATTGTAGATCTATTAGGCCTACTAATTTCTATTACCTACCTAAAAACCTACATCTACATATTTAAAGTAAAGTATGAAATAGTAACTATCCATTTCAGTTTTAGAGTTTTACATACATAAAATTATTTCAAAATAGGCCAAAGTCAAAGCTAGTAATGTGAAATGTGACAGAAACCCTAGCCTACCACCCTGTCATAGTCCCATAACTTCATAAGCCAAAGGGATGATTATAGATACTGGTGTCCGATAATGGAATATTCTTTAAAAATGGGGTGTTGGGTTGTTAGTAGTATTGTAATCTCGACTAATTTTATGGTTAGAAATTAGGGTTAGGCATATGGTAGGACCAGGGTTGGGGTTAGGGATAGGGTTAGCATTGACATTAGCCAGCCATGTGTGCATTTAGTTAACTATCAGTAACCTAACACCCCTTTTTTAAAGAAGATTCCATTATCGTACACCGGTGTAAACATTCTCCCAGCCAATGTCATGACCCTAATTTTGAATTTTTAATCATAGGCTTAATAGAGTCCTTGTATATAAAATCACGTAACGCAGTGTACAGGTTTACATTCAAAATGATGATCTGTGCTGTAAAAGGTTGCGATACTCGAAGTGGCAGATCTAAAGGGGTTCCTTTATTACGACTACTAAGGTCTATTTTACACCGAGGTGTCAGAGATCGACACTTAACAGAGCGTAGACGCCGTATAATTATTGCAGCGATGTGAGTGAAGCAGCGGCAAATAACAGGCGAATCTGTTCTTGACACTTTGTTTCAGGTGACAGGAAAAGTCACAAGGAAAAAAACACAGGAAAAAAGCCAGTCTTTGCTAGGAAAAAAAGACAGAAAAAAGTCACAATGGAAATCTTTTCAGAAAAAGTGTGATTTATATGTTGTAAATAAATCCACAAAAATCCACTTATTTTCCTTATAAAAGTCATTTTTTTTCGCCGCCCCCCCCCCCCGCGTGTGGACGTCATAAATGGATGACCCCTATAATTCATAAAAGTATTAACAAATTCCATGCAAATATATATTTGTGACTTTTTTTCTGTTTTTTTTTCCTGTGACTTTTTTCCTACAATCGGCTGTTCAATTCCCTGCATTATGAGGGTCTTAAATTATATAACATGCCACCCAGATTGGCTGAGATCTAAGTGGTTATTACCCATGAAGTATATTAGCCGTTTTAGTGTGGGTTTTGTAGGACTTAAGTGGTCTCATGTTTATTACAGTAGTGTGGTTCTACTATATCTATTGCTACTAAATCTTGTACATTACCAGAGAATCTAAAAACTACACTAACCAGATCTAGATAACCTATAATATATTACTGCATTTTATTAGATTTGTCTACTTAAATTCTAAAAGGCAAACAGTATTACAAGCAGTATTTTTATTTTGAATTTTCTGCCACATATTTATATCATCTACGAAACTGTCAACAACAGTATAAGGATCTTCAATTCCTAAGAGTTTAAGTTTTTTAACATGTTCCTTTTCCACTGGTGCAAGGATCTTTACATGCAGTGAACACCCCCAACGCTGACGAACAGCTGATTGTATTTATTGCCGGTGTACACCACCCAGACATGCCTACCCCTGTCAGCCAAAATTAGGAACAGTCATGCCTTAAAAGAGGAGTTTGTAGCCAAAAAGAGGAACATAGGCGCAGACGCTACTTTACTAAGTCAAAAATAAAAAATAATTAATTAAAAATTACTCTAAAATATAACTTGATCTAGTCTCTAGGCTACATACTGCTTAATGCCAGCTTACATTAAAAAAATAATTAACCAGTAACCTGAGACCCCTCTAATAAAAACCATAGCTTTTAAATAACATTATTGATTTGATTATTTATGACTTGCTATGTTTAGGCTAGATCTATAATTCTATATGAATAACAAATGCTAAAGGCTTCATGTAATAAATGTAATATAAAAATATAGGGCCTAATAAATAATAATGTTGTATCTAGAAATAAATTAATGAATTTAATGCTAGTCGTGATTTTATTGTATTTTATTTTTTTACCTACATGTTATTTAAGGCATTAATTAACTCTACAATTTAATTGCCAATACTAAAAAGAACGTTCAGTAGCTAGATTGTCCACATTGTCCATAGACTTCTAGATCTAGATCTAGTCTAGCTGGATCTAATCTAGATCTAAATCTAGATCTAGTATTTAAGAATACTTGTAAACATTGTAAGTAAACTAGGATACGGAAATGTATGCCAAAGCGAGATAATAGATTTTAACTTCCTTTTTTCAATTCACTTTATTACCTTTATTAATAATTATTTTTTTTAATTCGGAACAAACTGAGTCAAATCGGAATGACGGAACAATGGACTTTTTTAGGTGAAAAAGCAGGACGGTTCCGATTTTGGCGGGACGGTAGGCATGTCTGACCACCGTGATTTAGGTCAAGTGTTTGCAAGGACTCTATTGAAGTCTATTGGCTAATGACTAACTGACTAATGTAATAAATCATAATCATAATGAAATGTCATGAAACAAAATCTAGACTAGACGTCTATGTCTAGTTTTCTAGACCTAGATCTCTATATCAACTTTTTTATTACTGTGCAGAGTAAAATGTAAAATAAAATTACTAGATACGAGAAAAATGGCCCGTTGAGGAAGGATACAATGGGCGCTAGTTTGAAAGTGCTGTTTATTTTCTCGAAACAAAAACTAAAACAAAAATCACCACCTTAATTCAATTTAACCGGAAACGAAAAATAACACTGAAAACGGATTTTGATCCAGAATTGGTTCTTTAATCGAATTTAAGCTTGAACACCACGTAGTTACTGCACATTAATACTAAATATAGTTGTAGCGATACCCTTTAACCTTGAAACTAATCTCAATCATGACAAAAGTCACATTTAGAATTTCATTTAGGGAGACTCTACTCGCCCCCCCCCCCCCAATACACACACATAGCACATCTACTGTGCCATTCAATGAAATAGAATATATATAGAAAATATACTTTACCAGTGTCCGCCCCCTGCCAGAAAATTTAGTCCACACGCACCCCCGAAAATTTCAAGTCCCCCCCACCCTCAGGGGAGGAAAAAGTCTGAAAGAAACACTGATCGTATTTGTAGATCATATATGATACAGACTAAAGGTAGAGCCTACTTCTATAATTTAGACTTGTTACCTCATTTCCTACTTTTGGCCGATAAACATTCAATGTTTACTCGAAAATCAATGACGTCATATTGTGTGCACAACCCCAGATTTAGACTATTTCCTTCTATATGCTCCATGTGACGTCACGTTTTCGCTTTGCCCCTACTAGAAGAGAAACTCTTCACGTGAAGCACTTCATAACATTAGACACATAATTTAGGCCGCAATGTCAGTATTTTTATTATGGAGTATTGATGACGTCATTTCTTTGAGGGGTTCGGTATAGACGCTCTACTGGAGGGGAGGGGGGGGGGCTTAGCCCCTTACCCGGAGAATTGCATGAAAGAAACTCTGCATGCAAACCACTTTTAAGATTTGAAAAAAAAAATTTTAATTCAATGTTTACTCGAGAATCAATGACGTCATATTATTGTGTGCACTCTCCCTGCTTTCGACTATTTCCTACTATATGCTCAATGTGACGTCATGTTTAGTTTTAGTTTTGCTATGAAAGTTTTTATTTTGCTTGTGTTTTCTCTATAGCGTTATTGTCAGATAGATACATAGATAGATAGTAGATACTAGATAGATAGCGAAACTATTATTATAGAAAGATCTAAAATAAAAAAAAGTAATTAAGCTTTTTAAAAAGCCTCCATATTGAGTCAACTATATAGGCATAATATTATGGTAATAATTTAGGTACATAAAATCGCCCGCTAATTAGTATACTCCTACAACTAACTACTCACTACTGTCAGTACTAGTCATGTGAAAAACGATCATCAATGAAGAAAGCGTAAACATTCTATTTTTAAGTGTGACATAAAAAAACCAGTCATAAATCTAGCCAAATGATTGGATTCTTGCGCAGCACACATTTTCCCGCGCCTCGTTTTCACCAAACAAGAATGTAATAAATGGTTCAAAACCGCGAGAACGAGACTTCACGAATCGAAAAGCCTACTTTGTAGGACGCACTATACAAGACAATCATATTTAAATACATTTTCATACGAATAGAAATGAAAAAATAATATTTTCTTACGATGGCTGCTGTTTTTAATAGCAACTTTACTATCTCGAACAGGGTTGATAAAAATTAATTTCAGGATATTTAAATTGATTTAACTATAAATATTAAATGGTGATCTATTATTCAATTATTTATAATAATAATATTTTATCAAAATATACGAAAATATACTCATATTTCATTACATATTCATTAATTCACTCTCTCCCACATTACTAGTTTTGGCCGAATTTACGACGCTAAACTAAGGTTTTACCGAGGTCAATCCTGACCTCCTACCACCTAAGCATTGTAAGCAACGAGCCGGGCTACTAGATTCTAGATCTATATATATATCTAGACTCTATTTCAAATTTTGGTAATCTATCGTTTTAGGTACGTAAAATCGCTCGCGACTAGTAATGTGAAAAACAGGTGACTCCTTACAAAACATTTTAATAATTATTTCACATATTGAGGAGGATTTATGTTTTGAAAAATACAAAAATGTTTCCTTGTTTCATTTATGTACCTGTTTTTAAACAATTGAATTAAAACTTTTCAGTAATAAATGAACACCAGCGATGTTTCCAACAGATGCAACCATGCTCATTTAAGTTAATCTACTAGCAGCCATCTTGTTAAAGTTTTATTTTTATAGACCTAAGTTATGGCGCGAGATTCAGGCGGAAGTCACTCTATTTTACTTGTTTCATTTGTGTACCTGTTTTTAAACAATTGAATTAAAACTTTAAAATAAAAGTTGTAACTTTTCAATAATACATGAAGACTAGATCTAGATATCTAGCGATCTTTTCATCAGATGCAACCATGCTCATTTAGTAGCCATCTTGTTTAAAGTTGTTTTTTTTTGTAAACTTATAGTGAGAGCAGGGGAAGCCACTCTTTTTTACAAATGGCTGCTGTTTACATATAAAATAGAGTATAGGCCTAGTATCAGTATAGGGCCTAGATCTATATTGCCGATTTTATTATTGCCCTATTACTATAGCCCTATACTATATCTATCTATCTATATAGGCCAGAGTTTCTTCCAGGCATCTCTGCCCCCCCCGAAAAAATTTTACCGCCCCCCCGAACGGAATGAAATTTATATAATTTATATAGAAAATATATATATTATATAGGCCTATACTTTTAGTTTTAACAGTGTCCGCCCCCCGAAGAAAGTTTACCGCCCCCCCCCCCCCGAAAATTTCAAGTGCCCCCCCCCCCCCCCGGAGAAAAAAGTCTGGAAGAAACACTGATATAGGCCCATTCAAAAGTTTAACGCGTTCTAAATCTAATTTTCTGTCGGCCATAACTTTAACAATACGTCCGTTTGCTGTTTTTATTACGTTCCAACACTTAAAATCAATTTTCAACTGTCTTTTTCATTTAGTTTTACAATAAATTTCTCTAGCTCTACAATCTGACCAAGAAAGTTATTTATAGATCTAAAAATATCATATGGCCAAGCAAGTTATTGATAGATCTAGATCTAGAATATAGGTAAAACAAAAGATTAATTAGATACATACCAAAGATTAATTAGATAAAAATACAATCCGTTTTATAATCATAATACATTTTTAGTCCTTAAATAATTGATATAAATCTAGATCTAGATTTATCTAGCTAGAAAAGGTCTAATGATTAGATCTAGATTCTAGATCTAGCAAGAGTTACGCAAATACTAGACTTTAGGGGCCATCCATAAATGACGTCACGCTTTTTTTTTGATGATTTTTACTTCCCCCCTCCCCTCTGTCACACGTCGTCACAAAAAGCCAGACCGACCCCCAACCCTAAAATGACGTCACACCTCAACCTACAACCCACCTCAAAATTGCAGTTGAATTTTTTTTTAAACATCGATATTTTTCCAAAATCTTGTCTAAACTATTAAAATTGATTAAAACAGTTATTAAAACAGTTATCTAAAACGCGAAATAACGTCTACAATTCGTTTTCTAACTAACATTGCTTTTTTATAATGCAAAAATGTGACGTCGCAACATCTAACCCCCCCCCCTCCCCCTCATCACACATCGTCACAAAATTACGAACCCCCCTCCCCCCCCTACGAGTGTGACGTCATTTATGGATGACCCCATTAAGCAAAAGAGTCGTAGAATCTAGATCTAGATAATTCTATCTAGATCTAGATAATTTCAGACCTTCATTGTTTTATATTAATCTTTGTTTAGCTAATTAAAGATAATATTTAATTTGAAAGTTACTACTACTAGACTTAGATCTAGATCTATGCGCGTAAAAAATCAAGTTGCATAAGGAGACTCAAAGTATTAAAGTATAGTATAAAAATTCATCTGTGACGTCAGAGTTACATAGCTAAGTTGTTAGTGTAATCGGCTTGCATGCGGGTGGTACAGGTTCTAGACCAACACGTCAATGATGATTTTGTTTTTTTTTTCAATTTTTATTTAATTTTTAGATGTGAATGATAAAATTGCCTATCTGAACTTGGTGGGATACAGGGCAGGTGAAGTAGAGTTAATCTTTTTTGTTTGTCCTAAGCATATGAAGAGATAGTGTGGTCAGAGACATGCTCCGCTGGAATCGTTTTTTTAAACGATAAAAACATGTTGTCTGAGACTTGGCGGGACACTGGGCAGGTGAAGTAGGGTTGAGTAAGTCACCTGTGACGTCAGTATATAAAGGGATAGTCCGAAATCGGTGTTTTCGGTGTTTTTAAAAGATAAAAAACATATTTTTGAATGTGGGGTCTGTTTTTTGTGACGATAAGTGATACTGCAGTAGCGTAGCGAGGTGGGGGGGGGGGCCATATGTCTCCGGGCGCCGACCTTAGGGGCGCCAAAATGGGTTGGAAAAATAAATTGAAAGGTTGAGGGGGTGCAAATTGAAAGTTTGAGTGGGGGGGTGCAAATCGAAATCTTGAGGGGGGGGGGGGTGGTGCACATCGAAAGTTTGAGGGGGGTGCATATCGAAATCTTGCCGGGGGGGGGGGGTTCAAATCGAAAAGTTTGTCCCCGGGCGCCGAAAAGGGTAGCTACGCCTCTGAGTGACAGACGTGATAATATATCATTTATGGATGACCCCCCTCCTTCCCCCCCCCCCCCCGAAACCCACAGTTATCTAACTCGATAACGGGTAGTCTAGTATATATTCAATGCTACGGTCAAAGCCCGAAGTCGGCCAATGCGCGGATTGGCCAATATCGTCTCCCATTGGTCGGTCAAAGTCCGAAACTTTGCTTGATTTCGGCCAACTGGCCATGGTGGACCGGCCTAAGTCTTAATTAGAAGATCATCTGGCTAGGGACGACCGGCCAAAGTCCGAATTAGGAGATCATGAGCAGATTTTGTCTTTTTTTATGCCGTAAGGATCATGAAATTAAGTCTTTATTGATTATTAATTAAAGTAAATGACAGAAACATTCGTCAAATTTTTTATTGTACTATAGTCTCAATCAATCAATATTATCATTTGTTACAACAATTTGGACTTTTATGGCATTTAGAATTACATAGTAGCTTGTTATGTTTACACTTGCAGCGATTTGTTGTGCACTTGGTTGTGCAATTGCAGCGAGTGTAACCTTGGCCCCCAGTCAATGATTGTGAAGATGCGATTGTTCGTAGTGATTTTTCCTCAGTGCTAACTGACGAAAATAAGATCAGTTTTTCGTGAATAATTGAAAACTCACTTCAATCATACAGTTGTTTTAGAACACCATGTTCCGTTCCTAATTTGTAGAAACCGCCCTCGACGCTCACGACAACTGCAATCACGCTTCGGGGATCACCGTGACCTCTGTCAACATCTGGATCACGGATGCGTACATTGTCACTCATTTTTTAAATTTTGTATTTGATGTTTTAAGCATCTTAGCACCTTGAGTTTGCAAGCTAGTATGAGCTGCTGACCTGTGTTCCATTATGTCTTGTTTGTTGTGACACAATCTGCAGGTAATATTTCCTCCGTACCCTTCGTCTGCTTCATTGGGTATTCCACAAATAGCATGGGCATCGTTGCCACAGGATCCACAAGAATGAGCTGCACTACAATGTTTTTCACAAACTATACAGAATCTGATGGCCACATTATTGTCACGCAACTGGTCTGGACGTTCCGCCACGACAGCAGATGTTTTAAACAATACGTTACAATGAAACCGCACCCAAAATAATGAAAACGCGATCACACCTTAGTTTAGATAGAACATTGGCCAGGACCTCCCGGCCACTGCGCGCATTGGCCGGCCAATTACAGAATACGCTGTCAAGTTTAAGCGCTTCGGACTTTGGCCAGTACGTACAGGCCAGTGCGCGCATTGTACGAAATACGATCTTAGTGCTAAGTTCTTCGGGCTTTTGCCAAGAGAGCCGGCCAATCCGCGCGTTGGCCGCACTTCGGGCTTTGACCGTAACATATATAATACTCTTCTTGGAGACGTTAGAAAACACCGAGCTGTAAGCGCGCCTTGCAGTCCCCTTTCTTCCTCTCTAGGCATATCGCTAACACCCCCATCACTACATGGTCTGGTGAGCTGTGGTTCACTCTAAATGTTTGCAATCGGAGAGCCGGGTTTTGTGACGTCTATTAGGGGCAGATAATTTTGTTTGAAACGATTTTAAACTTAGGAGAGGTAACTAAGAGGAGTTTACTTTCACGGGGGGGGGGGGGGGGGTATCGTCCTAGACTAGCTACTGATAGTGTTTTAAAGCAAATATTTTCAATGGCAGCGTTGGTACTGTCGAATTCACAAATTATGAATTACTGAAAAGTAGAAAATAAAACAACTAAATAGCGGCGTATAATACGCTGCGGGTCGGCTGAGTTTCTTTCAAGCACCTTTTCAAAAAAATGTCTCAACGACTTTCTAAAGTTTCTTGGCGATTGGATGAAAACCAAAAACGTATGGTGTTAGTACTGTCATATTGATTAAAGATTAATTAGATTAAAAAAAATAAAATGTCATTAAGGTAAAAATTAGTATTAAATATTATTAAATGTTGGACTTTGCTTGTTGGGAAAACACTGTCCATGGTTGTCATTTTTTTAAAAATAGTTCAGTTATTATCATTGCTGTTTAGTAAGATGGATTCGAGCAGTGCGGACAGTTGCACGACAAAGCCTGTAAGGTTATTATTGCGGATGGGCCCTGTTCGACCCCCCCCCCCCCCCCCCACTGAATCATAATGCCTGTACAGTTGGAATGGACTATGGGCCTTTTTGGAACTTTTAACCTTTTTCTTTTTAAAATTATTTATATAAAACAAATTTTAAAATTCCAGTAAAAAGATATTAATTTTTTTTAAGAGGGTAAAAATTAATGTTCTCGTTTACGTGGATCTTTTCTGTTATTTTATTCCTATAACAGTCTGATACCCATTCAATCTAAACTAATTGTTTTTAAGTTACCTTCAAGTCTTGACCCACTGCGACTTTGAAACGAATCTGTCAGTTAGAAGTGTTCGAAATTTCGCTTGACTGTTTCGATCTTTGACGACAGACAAAAGCACGACAGACAGATGGAGCAGGTTAATAAAAAAATAAACTTCTAAAAACGCTAACGTTAATTATAGTCACACAGGGTCTGACCATTCCACACGAAATACGCCGCACTTCAGGATACAAACTACAGTTTTTGTTGCATGAACCGAGAATTTTTGTTCCTAAAATCTGAGTCAAACTGGAACAATGGCAACTACATTTATTAAGTTACAGTTTTAATTTAAAAATAATCCCTAGAAATATGATAACTAAAATAACTTTATCTTTAAAGTTTGGCATTATACTTTCTGAACTACACAACCTCCTTAATTCTTCGCCCCCCCCCCCCTCTCCCCCCACCATTTCTCTAGCTTTATTACATTATGTATTGACAGTGTTTCTTTAAGGCATCTTTCTGAACTGGGGGGGGGGGGGGGGGAGCTGCAGAACACGTCTACCGCACCTCCCCCACAAGAAAAATTAAAAAACTTTTCCATTTATATAGAAAATAATAACCATTGTCCTCACCCAACCTCATAGAATTTTCAAGCGCCCCCTCCCCCTCCTGGATAAAAAATGTCTGAAAAACTTTTATGGAGGACCCCTAAGTTAATCGTTGTCAATGTTAGGAGCAAAGTATTTCCACTAGCATAGAGTATTTCTCTCGTCTGAAGAGGTTTCAAACTGCACTTATTTCGAACACCACAAATATTGAACTGTTTACCTATTGTGGTTGATTAAAAAAAACAAGTTCAAGATTAAGTATTCCTACATTGATCAATTTTGATTTACAATTTTTTTTAATTACATACAAAAATCAATTTAAAGTTGACACAAACACTAAGAATAAACTGTATAAAAATATCATTTATTAGCCTGTTGATGATAGATCCTTTCACTGTTTTCCTGCACGGAGGTAGTTGTTCCACAATGTGCTTAAAGCTTTGGCTTCCTATTGAGGAGATGTTGGTGAAAATAAAAGAGAATTATGCTACAAGTTAACTCAAATTTTTAGACTGTGTTAAATAAGTAACAATTGGTAGCTAACATTAGACATGGTTAACTATATAAATTAAGTTATTGCTAACTATCTAACATGGGAGGTGATTATGCAATAGTAGTGAATGTTAACCTTCAAGCATTTGTTAACTAATGTTAGACACTGTTAACTATCTAACATTGGAGGTGATTATGCAATAGTAGTGAATGTTAACTTTCCAGCATTTGTTAACTAATGTTAGACACTGTTAACTATCTAACATTGGAGGTGATTATGCAATAGTAGTGAATGTTAACTTTCCAGCATTTGTTAACTAATGTTAGACACTGTCAACTATCTAACATTGGAGGTGATTATGCAATATTAGTGATTGTTAACTTTCTAGCATTTGCTAACTAATGTTAGACATTGTTAACTATCTAACATGAGAAAGAGTTATTCAGTGTTTCTTCCAGACGTTTTTCTACAGAGGGGGAGGACACTGTAAAACGTATATATTTTCTATACAAATTCCATTTTTTTCAGGGTGGGTGGTAGACTCTCTTTGGGGGGCTCTGCCCCCGAAGAGATGCCTGGAGGTGGAAGAAACACTGGTGTTATCTATCAAAATAGCGTCAAGTATCTGTAAAGAAGAAATAATCTAAAATAGGAGTTACAATTATGGCAAAGTATGGATGGTATGGGGAGGAAGTAAAATTGTGTGTTACCACAATGGTGCAAGTATGGATGGTATGGGGAGGAAGTAAAATTGTGTGTTACCACAATGGTGCAAGTATGGATGGTATGGGGAGGAAGTAAAATTGTGTGTTACCACAATGGTGCAAGTATGGATGGTATGGGGAGGAAGTAAAAGTGTGTGTTACCACAATGGTGCAAGTATGGATGGTATGGGGAGGAAGTAAAAGTGTGTGTTACCACAATGGTGCAAGTATGGATGGTATGGGGAGGAAGTAAAATTGTGTGTTACCACAATGGCGCAAGTATGGATGGTATGGGGAGGAAGTAAAAGTGTGTGTTACCACAATGGTGCAAGTATGGATGGTATGGGGAGGAAGTAAAAGTGTGTGTTACCACAATGGTGCAAGTATGGATGGTATGGGGAGGAAGTAAAAGTGTGTGTTACCACAATGGTGCAAGTATGGATGGTATGGGGAGGAAGTAAAATTGTGTGTTACCACAATGGCGCATTGATCCTGTATTTCACTCATTGTAAGGGGCTGAGGAGGCTTGGTTGTTTCTTCAGTCACACTTCAAAAAAAAAAAAAATAGAAACTGTTTTTACTTATTATAATTTAGAAATTGAACGAAAATTTAAAACAAATTTAACAATTTTTTATACTGCTACTATTAAAGCATATATTTTATCAGAAATAACCCTACTTTGCTATACCTCAGCTTAGTAGCAAACTAAACATTACGTTAAAATATTGTAAACTAAAATTGGTAATAAAAGCAGAATAACTTTTAAATATCAGTTAACTAAACAAACGACTATCATAAATCTCAGAAGTTAACTGTATCACACATTTTAGAAATAATAACACAATTGTTTATTCCATGATCCATTTTGGCAAGTCCCATTGTTACTTTAACCATCTTACCTCTGATTTTCCTGGCAAATTTCAATGGCCTGAGATTTTCTACTTGTAGAACTGCTGCCACGGCTTGGTATGTCTGGTAGAGGATCTGGCCTTGTGTCCAGAGATGGTGGACCACTGACAGATGGTGGGCCATCAACTGATGGTAGACCACTAAGAGATTTTGGGCCACCAAAAGAATTTTGGGGATAGTTTGTTTCCTCTTGTAGAGCTCCTTCTCTCAGCCCATAAGCTTGAAACCAATGGTGATCTGCTATCTATTTATAAATTTAAAAATAAACCTTTATTGGTTCAAGCTTTATCAAAATTTGGATATCCCATGGCAATATATTTGCAAACCCCCCCCCCCCCCCCCCCCATGTATTATCAAAATAAACAAGTTCTATATTTTAAAAAAGAGAGACATAAAATGTGGATGGCAATTGGCTCATAATATTTTGGATAATAAAGAAATGGAGGGACTAGTTATTTATGTTTGTGCACAACATAAATACTGGTATTTGTTCGTATGTAAAAAAAATAAAGATCTATGGGTAAATAGAGAGGTCAAATTGAAAAACAAATCATTCAGAATTTAATACATTGCCAGGCATTTTAAAACGTAGGCCTACATATATAAATTTAGAAAAAAAAATCATTTTATTAGATTATATGGATGTATTAATAAATGTATTGCTGAAATTCAATTTGGAATATAGAAGAGCAAACTAACAACTAATACTTTAGATCTTTTGTCTAACAATCCATTAAAATATTTCACAAATAAAAACTTACCACATCAGATAAATCTGGCCCATTCAGTACCATGTCCATGTCTTCATGCTGATCAATTATTCTGATAAAATCCAAAATAAGGGAGTTAATATTATAATCTACACATTCAACAATAAACTTCAAAGGATATCTTTCTGTGAGAAATTAACTATGAGAAGTTGGTATTTAATTACATTGGAATTTTTAAAAGTTGCTTTTTAGTACTTTTAGGTAGATCAAAATAATGCAATTATTGATTTCCTGACACATTTCAGGTCGTTTTATGGAAAATTAAGCTTTAGGAAAAGTATGAACACCATTTAGGATTAAGGATTGTCCATAAATATTAAATAATGTCACACTCCTAAGGGGGGAGGGAGGGGGTTTGTAATTTTGTGATGATGTGTTCAGGTAGTGTGAGGTCACACTTTGCATTTTAAAAAGTAATTTTAGGAACTGAAACTTAGAATTTATTTCACATTTTAGAAAACTGTTTTTGTAAATTGTAATAATAATTGATTAATATCTGCTATGGTGACTGAGCTCAGTCAATATAATGGAAAGGAATCAATATCTTTCAAGAATTAACTGCAATTTCAATGTGGGTTGAAAGCTGAGGTGGGTGAGGGGGTAGGGGATTCTAAGTTGTTTTTGTGACAGTATGGAGGGGGGGATAAAAATCCTCAAAAATGAACGGTGATCTCATTTATGGATGACCACTTATTCATACATTACATATATTTATATGTAACCTAATTATGTAGAGTGTACCATTAGTTGTTATATTTTTGGTAAACGTTTTAAAAAAATAACTCCAACAAACATTTTAGATTTTGCAAAATCATTTCTTCTAAAGTTATGGTTAAATATTTTTTTTTATATTTAAATTTTTTATTTTGAAAAGCTATTTTAAAAAAACAAAAGATTATAATTGGCTAAGTTAGATTATAAAAGTTGCCTGACTTACCTAGCTGCAACAGCAGCATTACTCATTGCCAGTTGGTACATTTTGTTTACTGTGCGTGCCATTTTCTTTCTCATTCTTTCTTTAGCTTTCAACTCTATATCTTCTTGAACCTAAATGATATTACCCACTTTAATATATCTATCAGACATGGATATAATTAATTTCTCTAATTAGAATCCAAAAAACTTTTTTTTATAAAGATTGATTCATTTTTTACCTCTTCTGGGTCTGGAGGTCTTTTAGTCAAGTCAAGCGTGAAACAATGTAGTTTTGGCATCTCTAGCTGATAGCCAAAAAAAAATATAGAACAACTGAATGATTGCAAAGTCTTAATGATAAGTTTACATTTATTTTACATAATTATTAAATTTTATGTTTAAATTTTGACTGGATATCAAAATATATTTTTTATATTCATTTATTTACTAATACAACTACAAGTTAAAAAACAATAAATACCTTAGGAAATAATTTTTCGACATCTAGTCTAATTTTGTCCCCTTGGCTTAAGCTGCTTTTCCGCTGCAAATAATAAATAAAAAGTTACTTTGCTGGAAATTAATTCCAACACAGTTCTAAAAAATATAGGCCTACTTCATATTAAATAATGTACCCTTTGGCAAATATAGTAAAGCTCATCTATTTTTGTAACCTCTGAATGATGAGGTCAGCATGAGCTTAGAAGCCTTTACTTTCCCTGATTTAGTTCAGGTACCCAACAGACTTGACCAGACAGTGAATCATAGAGACTGAGAACGGAGTCGAACTCAAACCTTTTGGCTTAATGCAGATCTACTACTCAATAACGCAATTTCATAAATTAAGTTATTAAAATATTATACAGAATATACATTGAGGGAAATTAAATGAGAGATTTTAGGAAGATCTATATATTCCATATATGAGAACTGGACATGTAAGACAACTGGACATTTAAAACCATCCTAACTTTTGAGTTTTACCAGCCCAAATAATTTGATTCCTGGTACGTAAGACAACTCACAACTTTTGAAATGATTCTCTTGGGTAAAGTAATTCTCATATTCCTCAGGAAATACAGTAGTAGTGTAATTGTTGTAATAATAATAATAATCCAATAGCGAATATTACTTTGGACTGATTCAGCTGAGTTACTGCCCATTTGTTGTGAGTTGTGCTGGGCCTGGAGGACTCCTGAGATTCAGAGATTCTCTCCAGTGACCTCTCTTGCTTGAGCCCCAGGGGTCTCTGCTCCAGGGAGTTGAGGCTGTCGTTGGACTCCCCATGGCTAGGGCTGGACTCATGGTCTGACACTGAGCCAGAATAACTGCTGAAGTCTGGTGATTACGATAATAAAACACATACAAAGGTTATTGAACAAGATACACCCAAAGGCACAAATAGGTAGGTTGAAATAGTGTGGTAACTCTGTACCTGCCTCCACCCTCACCCCCCAATCATTTTTTGTTGTTAAAGAAACAAAATTTTAAACAATTAAACTAATCATAGATTTAATTATATACTGTAAAAATTGAAGGTTGTGATATATTTCTAAAAAAATTAATGCCTTAATAAAGACATAAGAAATAAGCTGGCCTACAAACCTTTATGTTTATGAATTTTAAAGGTGGAGTTGAAAACCTCAGGATTCTGTAGCTCAGACCTAAACTGAGTAAAATCCGTTGTTGTCTTTAATTTTCCCTCCTTGCGAAGTTTTTCTTCCAATCCAACTATCTGTTTTGTTAACATTAATAAAATCTTTATGAAAAGAAATTTTGAAACACTCAATTATTTAAACTTGGTATTGAATAGTTAAAATAGTTAATTCTTTTTTTAATTTGCAAAGTAATATGAAAACTAACTTACAATAATCTAAATAATAAGAAAATAAAACAAACTTAAATATAAATTACATCTTAAAAACAGAAAAAAAGTTTTAAGAATAATTCCAACAAAAAAAATCACAATCACAAGCTGTTAGAGTAAAATAATGATACATTAAAAAGAATAAAACATAAAAATTGAAATGGTAAATGAACCTACCAAATATAAATTTGTTTTAGGGACCTTCAGCTTTGGAGGTAATGTATCTAGAGTGTGACGTTCTTTTTTCTTCACTGTGTGGCTGGCTTTTCTCTGAGGACAATGTTGAAATAAACTATTTCGCCACTGTATTAAATTTTATATTAGAGGCAGAACATCCTCAAGAGTTCATTGATTAATTGATTAATTAAAATAATTTCTTTTACATGAATTAACATAAATAATTTGTATGTGATAGAATGATAACATATACTTCAACAATATTTGCTTCACGTGTTGCTGTAATTTCATTCAGTTATGGGTTGTGTATGTTGATACAAAACTTAAAGTAAGATGCAGAGTTCAAAGTCTATTATTTACACTGAAATGTAATGAATAGCTCCTAGTTTTATTGTTTGGTCATCACTCTAACAGTACATTCTCATTATTTTCAACAAAAGCAGATCAAATGTATAGAGTTCTACTCACTGTGTTCAAGTACTCACAGTTTTACTAGTGTTTTTTACTCACAGTAATTTAAAACAAAAATCAAAATTTATATTTCAGTTGTGTTAGGAAGATTAAACATAATCTTCATCTTTGAGAATTCTTAGCAAGTAAAAAAAGATAAGTGGCATAGGAAGGGTAGGGGGTATCAGTTATAATCTTCTCACCATTCAAAATTTTTAACCATAAAAAATATAACATGGCCAATACTTAATGAAGACTTTTAACTTTAAGATTTATGTTAAACTTACCATGAATAATCCACTTTCTAAAAATTTACTTCATCATTAAATATATTATTAAAAAATTAAAAAAAAAAAAAAAAAAAACATACTTTCATTTCCTCTTCATCAAATATTTTCTTTTCCCTTTCCTCATCTTTAGCCTTTATATTCTCTCTCTGTTTTTTCACCTTGTCAGCTAGTAAACTGTTATATTCTTTATAGTAATAGTCTCTGAGTCTATACATATCATTCACCAGTTTAAGACATTGCTGTGAACAGAAAGTAATATAATGCTTGGCCACTATGATAATTTTAATGTTACCTGAATTAACATTTGTCATTTGTGTTATAAACTAAGCATACACAAATGTAATGTAAAACTCAATGCATAAAATATAAAAAAGAAAGACATGAAAAGAAAGAAGTCTTTAACAAAAAAAAACCTGATAAAATTAATGAACAAGATAATTATAATAAAGTAAAAGTAGAACAGAAAAGTTTGGAAGTTACATTCACAGATAAAGTAACTTTTGAGGTGACGTAAATAAAATGCCACAGTCTTAAGAACATAAACATTTTAAAACTGCAAGCAGGTAAAGTAATATGTTAAATGTATTTCTACCTCATCTCGCTCTCTTTCTTTTTCCTGAATTCTTTCTTCATCAGCATCATAAAAATTGTTTGTCTGTTGCTGTTTAAGGGCTTTTCTACGTCTTTTTTCTTCTTGTTTTGCCTTTTTAAAAAGTTTTTTTATTATCAATGGTCATTTACTCTAATAATGAACAACTTCATCAAATTTTTTATTAATAATAATTTATATCTGGTGAAGTAGCCTTTTAAACCAAATTTCATATTGTTGTTTTGTAAAAAAAAATACTTTATATGTTAAAAGCATTCAGCCTGTTTTGCATTTAATATAAATCTAAAATTTATTTGTAAATAAGCTTTAAATGCAATGTTTTGTTGAAACTTCTACAGTACTCAACTTTTTAAATCAGAGATTGAGGAAATACTAGGAATCACATTAAGTACAGAGTAATGCTTTGGGTTAAGGCTAAGGCACTAATAACTAAAAAACTACAGATAATTTGGGTTAAATAAGTAATTTAGTATCATAATTGGTGATTATATTTCCAGTTACCCAAATGAATTAATTGTTCTTAGTCTTAGCCTTTGAGTTTTTACAGTAAAAACTGATCGAAAGTACCTGTATTGTATTCTTACCTTTGCAAGTCTCTCTGCTTCTGTGTCTTTAAAGCCATAATCTGTCAACACATGAGGTAGGGAAGAATGTTTATATTGAGGTGTGTATTTGATTGGCAAAACAACTGGATCTTTATGATTCTGTTCATGGTTTTCCATCATTTGTGATGTAGATGTAGAACCTGCAATGCAAAAATTAGTACCCTATATTATTTTAGATGCCATAAACATATAAAAGTCATGTGTGTTTGTTGTGTAAAATTCTTACTCCTTACTGATGATACCGATAGTTTATATTTTTTAAGTTCTAGTTAGATTATTTACAAATTTCATTAACACGAATTAACCTAAATATTTTGAGGCATATTTTTTTCTAAAATCACATCTGTTGCTGCCAAGATAAAATGATGGGTGCCGCAAGTTTTTCACCATTGAAAAAAGTTTGGTATTATTTCCAAGTAGTATATGGGCTATGCACATAAGTATAAGCCTATAGGGGTATCTATTATGTGCACCATTGTAGGCTTACTTAGTACTACCAGGGTTTCTTTTAACATTTGTTTCTGGTAGGGGGGGGGGGCAATTACATTTTTTGACACTGGTTAAGTTTTATTTTCTATATAAATTATATATAGATCTAGGTCTATATATTAAATATATATTATTTTTATTCTATTTAGTCCCAGGAGGGGGGAGTCGTGGGTATGAATGCTCCCGGGATAAGGCGGGGGAGAGATGTCTGGAAGAAACCTTGATTGATAGTGATTACTTAGTAAGTTACTACATTACTATAGTGTAGTGTTAATAAAAAAAATTGTCTATTAGGCCTACTATTAAATTAGTGTCTCTATAAATAAGTGTGCGTCACATTATGTCAAAGGAATGCAGAGTTAAATACAGATTTAGATCTATTTTTTAAAAAAATGAGATATTGATTAAACACTAAAACTTCGGACTAAAACAGTATTTTTTGTGTTGTTTTTTTTAAGTTTAAGTACCTCCTCAAGTCACACAACTTGTTTAAAGTTGCTGGCTATGTAATATGCTATTTAATATTTTCTTAATAAGATTTGAATCTATTAACTGGCCGTTTTGGTACAGGTGGCACCTAAATATTTTACTTAGACGAAATAAAATTGAAACTTAGTAATTAAGCTCGGTTATTTTTTTAAAGCCAATACCAGAAAATAAATTTAACAAGCATTGAAAAGAGAGTTATCTAACCTACCCATGCACTAGTCATTGCTATAGCTACCGATGTAAGGGAAATCATGCACATAAATGGCCTCTGGTGCTGATGTAATAGTTATCAACCCTGAATAGGAATTGGACAATGATGACAATATGTCCATGAAATTATAAATTGAAATAAAAACTGATGGGCTCTATTGGCTGAGAGGGAACAAATCGTTTTGTTGATATAGACATAGGCTTGTCACTTTACTCAGGTCGATAACTATCTGATGTTACTTCTTCTATAGACCTACATTTTGAGCTATAAATATAAACTTCGATTGCTTTTTATTTAAACTAGCCTATTCTGAACCATCATTATTTCTTGTCTAAACTCTTCTAGTTAATATTTAGAATAGTGTTAGTTTTAACGCATGGTGCTTTTGGTTAAAAGTACAAAAAAAAAAGAATCATAAGAGAAGTCACAATTTTTTGCTTTTAAAAGGTACTTTTTTAACTTATCAAGCTGAATTTTAGCTGTTATTTAATTTTTAAAGGATTATTTAAGTACATTTCACCCCAACAACCGTTTGTTTAGCGAATACAATTTTTATGCAGATATGGTAGTGTTGCGATATCGGTAGAATCAAACTAGACAGAAAACGATTAAGTTAAATAATAATACCTGCATTTTTTGTTAAGATAAGAGAGACAACTAGATTATTATTTAAGGTTTAATCAACAAAACTAGGTTACATCCCCTTAATGAAATTTCAATAAGTATTTACAGAAATAAGTGGGAGTTTTGAAAGGGGGGGGGGGGGGGGGGTGGGGGAGTGAGGCGATCAGGCAAACTATCAATTTTAAGCCGCCCCCCCCCCCCCATTTAATTTAACTATTCACGTTCTTGAGTTGTTGTTTTTTTGGAAAGGGGGGGGGGGGGCGCTGCATTTTACTAATAACTTTAAATTAACATTATTTATTACAATGTCGCATATTATGATGTAGAAAACAGTTAAATCATTTAGGAAATCAAAGCAGTTGCCTATTTTCTTAACTCAGACTGTATAATTGAGTAATGCAGCTCATAATGAGCTGTTTATTATTTTTCTACCCAGTTTGGTGCCCTATTTTTGTCGGCGATGGAGACGAGAGGTTAACAATCAACAAAAAATAAAAGTGAAAATACGAGTGCCGCATCTGTTTAAAAATGACCCCCCCCCCCTCCCCGCCTTATCTAAAAGGGTTTTGGACCCTAATACGTTATATTATTTGTTTGAATAGCGGAACTGGGGGAAAACTGTAGTCACTACTTTCTGTCAAATGTTACGGAGTGGTCGTGCGGTAAAGCGCTCGACTGCTAATACGAAAGTCTCGAAGTTCGAATCCAAAGTTCGGTACCGTAGATCGTCACTGTGTCCACCTACTCCTTATGAAGGCGTATTCTGTTCAGTTTCTTCCAGGCATCTATTCTCTTTGCCCCCCCCCCTCCGAAAAAAATTCTCCCCCCCCCCCCCCCTCGAACGAAATGAAATTAATTTATGTAATTTATATAGAAAATATATACTTTTAACAGTGTTCGCCCCCCGAAGAAAATCTACCGCCCCATCCCCCCCCCCCCCCGAAAATTTCAAGTGCCCCCCCCCCCCCCCGAGAAAAAAGTCTGTAAGAAACAATGATTCTGTTTTTTTTGTTGCGGGGGGGGGGGGGGGGAGAAGCTGAAGAGCCCCCATGGATATATTATAACGTACACAATCATGCAATCGACTTTAACATAGGGGAATCTCGGCACGATCCTGTCGTCTCTCGCATCACGCAAAAAGCTAAATATAGACTCACTACATCGCTCATGACATTTTGCTGTCGATCGTCATTGAATGGAGAGACGAACTTGGCAGAGTTTGATCGAAGCACTGCAGCTGGGTCAGGGGCGGAGCTGCGTGGGTGCAGCAATCGTGCACCGGTGCACACATTATGCAACATGACAAGGGGAGGTACTAGTTTATGGGGTCACCCATAAATGACAACACGCTTTTTTTTACCTCCCCCCCCCTCCCCTCCGTCAAACGTTGTCACAAAAAGCCAAATCCCCCCCCCCCCACCCTAAAATGACGTCACAACTCAGCCTACAACCTCCCCCCCCCCCCCTCAAAATTGCTGTTGAATTTTTCTTAAAACAGCGATATTTTTCCAAAATCTTGTCAGAAATCTGTCAAAATAGAGTATTTTGATCAATTTCTATTACTATTTATTAAAACCGTTTTTTTAAAACGCGAAATAACGGCTAAAACTTGTTTTCTAACATTGCTTTTTATAATGCAAATAAGTGACGTCACACCATCTAACACCCCCCCCCCCTCCTCCTCATCACACACCGTCACAAAATTACGGACCCTCCTCCCTCCGAGTGTGACGTCATTTGTGGACGAACCCTATCAACGTGCCCAAATAAACCAACAAAACGGAATTTGTTTTATGTTTTATAGTTATAGCTATTTGTCGACAGTATGCTGGTGTCGCTTAATGACAACTGCTCCACTATTTTGAATGTTAAACAACAGTTATACGCTATTCAAATCGTTATGTTATATATATATATATATATATATATATATATATATATATATATATATATATATATATATATATATATATATGTGTGTGTGTGTATGTATAGCCTATATGTATATTTGTATGTATGTATAAATGACGATTTAGACCTCCCTCACTCCCCTCCGTCACACATCATTACAAAAAGCCAGACACCCTCCCTCCTAAATGACGTCATACGTCAGCCAACAATCCCTAAAAATTGCAATAGCGGCTAAAATTCGTTTTCTAACATTGCTTTTTTTATAATTCAAAAGTGTGACGTTACACCATCTGACCCCCCCCCCCCTCTCCCCACATCCACCCCACACCGTCACAAAATTACGGACCCCCCCTCCCCCCCTACGAGTTTGACGTCATTTATAGACGACCCCATAGGCCAATGTTTGAGTGTGTAAACAATATGCCCACCCCTCCTCCTCCATGACAAAATCCTGCCTACGCCAATGTGATAGTCCTCTAGTCTAGACCCTGTATATGCATATAGCCTACATATTTACCCAGTCGGTACGTTCGATTTTACCGGCTGTCTAAATATTCTCAATTCTCCATTGGCATATGCTTTCCAACGCCCAAAGTGCTATTGATTGTATATACCAACACACGTTCAAACCAAGCATGATATATTTTGCTGTCAATTACACACTAGACGACATTGTCATTTTCCCTATTCTTTTTAGTCTTTAAACAATTTTTTCTGTGTTTGGTCAGTCATTAATTTGTTACTTGTTGCGATGTTAATTTAAAAAAAAATCATTTTGATTAACCTTTGGTTGATTTAGTTCATAAAAATCTTTTAGTTAGCCTTCAACAACTGAAATATATTTTGTTTTTTGAAAATTAAAATATACTGTTATGAACTATGATGGATAGACTACGAGTTTGTTTTTCAAAGTTGCACTTGCACAGCCAATCTGAACTTTCTTTTGTATAATGAACTATGCATGTCCCCCCCCCCCCCCCCTTTCCCCGAATCCAAATTTAGCCCAATTTAACATCTTATTTTCATTGAACAAGCTACACTACTTTAAACGGCGACCCGAATATGAGTCATGATGTGGGGGGGGGGGGGGGGAGAGAGAGGAAGGCGCGTCATTGTTAAGTTAGCCCCGATGGCGGGAAAACGTGCAGACGTTACGAAACCGTTCACACCACACACGCAGACGGCTGAGCAGGGGCGAGTGGGTACAATGAAAAATTCTCTCTCACCAACTGCCTAGGCTGAACAGGCCACTTTCGAACCAGCCTGGAAATGACTAATCTTCTTTCTTTGCATGGGTTGCTCCATATTTTTACACAGGCGCTCAGTTTACTCACGCAGGCTGTTTCAAATTTGAAACTTGCGCTCTGTGTATATACGACACCAGAATGTCACGCTATAAATAGAATACCATTTAAGCAAGCCTGTAAAATTTTATTTAGCTTATTTCTCACACATAAGGCGTGTATGTAAAGTGTATGAATAAATAAGACTACAAATAGGCCGCACGACAGTTTTTTTCTGTATAGTCAAACATTTTAATTTTATTTTTAAAAAGCTCGTTTTGTGGGAAAGAAGGGGTTCAACAAAGTTTATTTCCATTTTTAAAGGATTAATTTCAACAATGTAGGCCTACCAAGGTTTTTTTCCCCATCTTGCTGTGTTCAGTTGTGATGTCATTTCCGTCCATACCCCTACCTACTCCCCCCCCCCCCCCTCTGAAACCTGAGATTCACGAAACAACACAATAGTTAAATTAACAAAGTTTGTGCTTTCCCTTTAGATGTTTTTAATAATTCCTCCCCTGATCCAAATAATTCAATTTAAAAAAAAAAATTCCTGGAATATGGGTGTCAATTTTTTTTATCTAGTCAACTCTTTTACAATCACATCAAATATAAAAAAAAATAATAATAAAACGAGTATTTGAATACATGTAGATTTTTATTTGAACTGGACAGAGAGTAACCCAACCTCCATGTCACCAGGACCCAAGCACTGCTGTAAGGGTGGAGGTTTACTGTCAAAACATAAGATTTCAAAAATACACTTGTACTGCACTGCCGAAATTAAATTGTTGCTACATTTTCATGTGTCAATGTTACAAGTTATCCAAGATAAATTTTTCAGCAGTTAAGTCAGTTATAATTGGGCACTTGCTTAAAACAGTAAAGGACTAGGCCTACACTTGTATATTGGACCATCCAGTGGCGTAGGCAAGGGGGGTGGGCGTTATAACCCCTCCCATGGACCCCTATATATATATATATATATATATATATATATATATATATATATATATATATATATATATATATATATATATATATATATATATATATATATATATAGGATTGTATACATATGGAAAAATATTTGAACCCCTCCCATGACCAATGCTTGGCTATGCCAGTGTGACTGGTACTGGTTGGGATACATCCAATTCTCAGTGAAACAGTACAACAATTTGTCTTGATACAGTCATCAAATCAGATTGTTTACACATTTCTTTAGTTTAATTTGCACAAACAATTGTTAAAGTTTCTTAGTTATTTGAAAAGCTTACAAAAAAAAGGTAAATAATTCTTTTTTTTTCTATGTATTGTGAGTAGCAACATGTATTGTAAAACAAAGTATACATACTAGCAAAATGTAGCATATATGCATATGCTAAATGCTTGTACTTATATAAATAGAAAAGATATTCACGGCACCCTGATTGATATACACGTATAAACAAACATGGGATGGCAGGGAGAATGAGAGCAGTATGACAATGTAGGAAATAAATAAACGGCACTGTGAGAGATTGAACCAGTCAAAGGTTAGTCCTTGCTTAAGACATTCACACTGCCCTCCCAAATCACAAATACTGATATGATAGTTGATAGGCAGCAACAGTAAACTATTTGTACATTATTTCCCATCTAAAAAGAGTTAAACTTTAATCAGCTGATTCTTCCAGGGTTATTTAGAAAACTTCCACCCATGGTTAGTTATAGAATAATTCAAACTACTAGTCGTTTTGACAAGTTCTTTATTTAAACATCATACAGTTTTAGTTTGCATAGTAATAACTTAAGTCCAAACATGCTAGCAAGCCAAGGTGTAAATTAGAACAAATACTAACACTAGGGTAGTATAAAAATTTCGTTTTAATTTCGTAAATTTTGTGTTCATTTTTGTCTAAACTGGCCATTCCTTTTCCAAATTGTTTTTGTTGAACAAAAATATTTCTTCTGTTCTTTGAGTGGCAAGTATAAGCATGAAAAACAAAATTAGGGGCAGCTACAATAATTTTGATTGTACAAAGAAATATAAACTATAAATCTTACAAAAAAAAAATAAAACCAACACACAAACATACATACTGGAAGAAACCACTAGAACAATATGAGCAAGCATACCAACTTATGCGGACTGATGGTTTAAAAAAAACCCAAAACCCACCAAAAATTAAAAAAAAAACAAATTAAGCTAATTGCCATAAGAGAGCAAAGTGTTCAGTGTGTATTGCTTGAAATGGATGTGTGGAATGATACAAACAAACAGTCTTCAATACACATCAAGTGGAATTTAAAAAAAAAAAAAACAACCCCAATGCACTCAATTTTTTTTTGAAAATAATCTAATTTGAAACTGATCATAAAACTTTATAATTTACACCCAACATCACATTAAGGGGGCAGTATCACCCAGACATTTGAAAATTGACAAACAAATTTGCCAAAAAAAAACTATTACACATACACACATAATTTTTTTACCATAATAGTAATTAATAAGGAGCTATAAAACAGCACATAAAAGAAAGTTAACGTATGATGCAAACATTTTTTAAAAATAATATAACCAAAAATTTTTCACTAAGTAATTTGTGGCTGCGGTTTTCCAACATTTAGGCCCTTCCTGCTGAAAATACACTGGGAGATGCATAACAGGATAGCCTATCGCTGGAACTAGAAGATATCCATTGTGACAAATTTTGAAATTTTTAGAATTTTTCAAAGTCAGACAAAAAAAATTGAACTTAGAAATTTTCTAAAAAATTTATCCCTCATTAGAATCCTATGATTTTAGTTCAGACGATAGCCATTAACGCAAGGAAGGTTTATAGCAAATTTTAAGTACTTTACTTATGGTTTCGGAAAATTGTTTACACAAAATTCAAAATGTAATAAAATATGAACAAAATAATTTTTTGCAAATATGTTGCTATACATATACCCTACAATTTATATACTGTATTATTGCAGAAGAACCGTTACTACTGCTGTACAATTTTGACATGTGTATGTCGAATAGTTTTTTTTTGGTGAATATTTTTGTTTTCCTCCCTTAGTCTGGGTGATACTGCCCCCTTAAATAAAAATTATAAAAAAAAAATGATTGCACGCCAAAAAGTCCACAGGGCTTATGACATGTTTAGAAATTTATACTATACAAAGAAAGTCAACTTTTGTTCAAACTTTGATACTTTTCAAAACTACATGATTTAAGTAATTGATAGGCATGCACAAACAAAAAAGAAAAACATTTTCACTCAAGTTATATTTGAAGCCTAATATAAATGTTTCTTGCAAGAGCAGACATACTCTCTATACAACACAAAAAAAAAGAAAACAATACAAAAAATGGCTATAAACCTACAGCTACCATCCATTCAACATGCGTTTATATAATTGTAGGGGAGTCTGGATATGAATACACTATGCTTCAATTAACATGGAATATAACACGCAACAGAAGCACATTAATCAGAAACTTTGGACATACCATTTGCAGCAACAAGCTGTAGGAGCTAATGTGATCCAGGAAATGATTGCGCTCGGCCAAAAACTATTCTGATGACTAGCCAAATATTGTTAATTATATATTAAAAAACAGCTTTTAAAGAATAAATTTTAAACTTTAAAATGAAATCGATCATGTAAATTTGATTTCCTGGGTCAAATTAATAGGATCCAACAAAGTGATACCGCACTTCAGTTAGTGTCTAAGATGTACATTGTAAATAATTTGTTTTAAAAAAAAAAAAGCAACTAAAATGTTTGATGGTATTACTATTTAACATGGCAGTGGGTTACATGGACTCGAACTCATCCACCCTCTGTTTGGTGTTGCCCTGTCTGATCTGTTTCAACGTCTTGTATTTGTCCCTTCCCTGCCTCATGTTCTCCTGATGTAAAAGATCTATGGCATTCTGTTTGGTCTTCTCAGCATCCAAGTCCTCTTTTAGAGCCTGATGGAGCAAAGAACAAAAAAAAAAACTTTCCAAAACAATTGCATTTAGTTAAAAAGTTACATCCTAACACAGCATTTACACTTGTAAACAAAACTTGCAACTAGTAAGTTTGCATGTTTTGTAGAAAAAATACTTTCTAACACTAAAAGTAGTGTAACATTCTATTGAATGTACTATTTGAAATCTGATCCAATTATAAAGAATGTTAATTAATGATAGTATAATATAAATAATCTTAAAGTATAAGCAATCTTAATTTTTAATATTATAACATGAACCATATTGTGCTTACCCTAAGTTGCTCTTGAAGTCTCTTGTCCTTGCTTTGCTGTGTTTCTCTTTCCTCCTCAGGTCTGGGCAAAAGCAAATCTGAATCTTCAATACTAAGACCAGCATCTGAAAGAGAGAATAGAAATGACAACCAGCACTTTAAGAATATCCTGCGAGGTACAACTAAATCAATGTCACACAACCACCCTCTCCAAGTGACAAGTCACCAAAAAAAGGATGACAAACCAATTAAAAAGAATGCAAGTTATAATTACCAAATTCCTTAGTGTCATCTCCCTCGTTCTCCTCTCCTTCATCATGCTGGTCATGCATCTCTGACCTGACCAGCAGCTGAGCCTGGAGCTCCTGTTCTCTCTGTTGACTGTATGTCATCACCCTGTTAAGCTCATGCTCCTTCTCTTCCGCACTTTTTCTTGCAGTCTCCAGCTCGGAGTACAGAGATGACACAACAGTCTCCTTGGTTTCAATTTCATTTAATCTCTCATACAAGGAAGCTTTGGTTAATGCCAGCTCAGCCGCCTAGACAAAAGATTTATTTTAATTAATTACAGAAAACGAGCTGTTTAAAAAACTGAGCAGTTCAACTTTATGTTGTACTAGTGATATATTAAATGTTTATAGTCTGTGCGCCACCATAGTATTTCACATGAAGAATGTAAACTCACCAGTCTTTCCTTTTCACACTGCTCCATTTCTTGGTTCCTCTCAATCTCCCTCTGAAGTTCTTCAGCCTTCCGCCTTTCCTCATCTAACTCTTCTCTTAGCCTGGTCAACTCAGCCACCTTGGCATCCCTCTCTCTAATCATAAGTTGCATATCCTCAAGTTCTGAGAGAAAACAAAGACTTTTATTAGAGAAATAGAAATGTAACCAACAGAATTAACAGATAAATTCTGCTAATTGGAACAAAAGGAGCGTAAAATAATTATACAAACCTTTCATTCGTTTTTTCTGTTCTTCTTCCATGAGTTTAACTTTTTCTTCCAAGTCTTTCCTCAACTTATCAGACTCCTCCCTTTCCATTCTCATACGAGCCAACTGTGCTCTAAAATAAAACAACAAGAACGGTATGTATAAATATTATATTTGATAGATCTAGTACAATACAAATACCAAACAAAATTTCAAGCAAACACATAAAAAAACAACACACTGGTGAAAATCTTTTACCTCTCTTGTTGTTTAGCTAATTTATCTTCTCTAGCTTGAGCCTTCATTTGTTGTACTTCAATTGTATCTGGCTTTCTTCTTCTCATATACAATTCATGATTGCCCATACACAATGCTAAAATTCTTTTGTTAATACGCAGACGAGGAGCATAGAAGACAAAGTCCTGAAAAATTAAAAATATTATGTTCATAATATCAAACTGTTTATTAGTGTACATTCATAAAAAGATCTAAAAGTAAAATTTATTTAAAAAAAAAAGCATTGAAAATGTTCTGAAGCGCAACATTCAGATTTCTTGTGTCTGTGCTCCATTAAAGAACATTTTAAAAAGAAAAAAACTACTTGCAAATATGTCATAACACTAACCTCATAGATTTAACACATATCTTCCAACATTACTAAATTAAAAGCATGATTTTACTTACTGGTGCTTTTTTATCTATAGGTTTGATAACAAATTTTTTGTCATTAAAAGATATATTCCTAATCTCACTCCAAGGGAACCCAATTCTTGGAGTTAATCTGAAATATAAATAAGTGGTCACCATAACTAGTTAAGAATGCTTTAATATTTATGTATGCAATGAAAACAAATTCGTCAACATTTGAATAGGCAATGAAAACTAATTAATAGACTGCCCGTACACAAAGTACACTCACTTATCATCCTTTTCATAAACATTTAAGCCTAGAGCATCAACACCAAGAAGTAAGTCTGTTCCTTTTTTGTTCTTAATTTCAAAATAATTTACACCATACATCTCCAAATCTTGTGCAATTTTAAGATATTCAATCATTGCATCTTCCCTGAAAAAGACAATAATAAGAACCAATCAGTAAGTTTAACCAAACAAAAATTGCTGGCTGCAGTAATGTAAACCAACTAACTTAAAATATTTGATTAAATCTGTGTATGAAAATTATTTCAACCTAGGGCATGGGTGAGGTTTTTTAAACTAAACCTTAAGCGTACCTTAACATGGCTTTATGTTCACCATACCAACTCTTTATTCTGTCTTCCCACTGCTCTTTGGACAATTTGTGTTGATCATACACTCTGTGGTCATAAGTAAACAAAATTGTAAGTTAACAGCATCAATCAGGTAATCAGGACAGAGAGTGGAAATCTTCACTAAATGAAACCCAAAATTAATTAAAACACGCTTACAAAACCATTTTAAATTAACTAATACTTTAGTTTTTGAATATAAACTATTAAACCTGCTCAGCCTAAAAAAATGAAAATTATTATTAAAAAGCAATTTATCACTATATAAATCTGGTCATGCTTGTGAACAGTTTTCTAATAAACTCAGAGAAGTAAAATTTTTGAAAGCCACGTGTCAGATTATAAATATCAGGTTGCATTAGTTTACCTTTGTGGGAGTAGCCTGTCATTGGCTAGAGCACCTGGTTTAGGGTTGTCTTCAGTGTGGTCCCCATATTTAGCCTGACAAGCATATGATGCTAACAAAACTGCTGTTTCTGGGGGGCAGTAGATCTCATCTGATAAAATACCTTCTTTCACTTGGAGGAAAAACATTTTCTGAAATGTCAGATTCATTTTGTAAAGATAATTTATTCAAGTCTATATAAATATTCATAGTTTTTAGTAGATAAATTTATGCATGACATAAAAAATAAAAGGTGCAAACCTGTGTAATATCTTGAATCAATTCTTCTGAAACATCCTCAGGGAAAAATTTGGCGCGGAATTTAAACTGAAGTGGGACCTCTTTCTTTACATCTTGACTCATAACCTGTCGTAAAAAAACATTTTTAATATAGGAAATGCTTTGAATTTTTATGCAAACAAAAACATTCATCATATAATTATGGATGGTTTTATTTTTTTTTTAGTTCAAACTGAGTAAAACAAAAAAAACAAAAAAACAATACGCAAGTAAAGATGATTTCATATGTAAACTACTACTGGTTAAATTAAGTAAACGAGTAAAACATACCTTCTTATTAAGTTTTAGCCAAGTACTGTATCCTTTGCTGTCAATATACTGGAGGCCAAAAAACCAGATTTCTCTTAATCCTATAGTCTTTACCACCTGGTCAAACAGTTGTTTGCCCGTTGTACTGTGCTGGATGGCAAACTCCAGCTCAGCGTCCATGGTGGTAACACGGACATTGATGTGCTGTTAAAAAAAAGTAGTCATATAGATTGTATTTTAAAGTTCAAAGAAAGCATATAATTAGCAAATGTTTAGCAATGGTATAGTTTTTTTTTATGAATGGAGACTGCTAAACTTACTGGACGCGGCATGGCTGCAAGTCCACCAGTATCACGTGTTTAAGAAAATACCAGTACTTTAAAAGTACTGCTTGTAAAATCTGAAGAAGAAAAAAGATTAGTTGAATTATACGAAATTTACATGGTACTTTGATCTTCCATAAAAAGTGAAGTAAATTATAGAGGGAAGACCTAAATAAATAAAAAATGGTCCCAAGGCATGATTGGATAACTCTGCCTTGGAAATCAAGGTGTAAGGACTGTGCAGAAAGTTGAGAAGAGCTTGAAGTGACCCATGTATCATACATCCTCTCTCCACATAGCTAACCAGAGGCAGTACCTATACAACCTGGTATCAACAATATTACATTACATAGTTACTGCAAGGAAACTAGAGCCCTACTGGCCAGCACATGTTTTTTTTTTCATTTCTCAAACATTTAACAGACCCAAATGACAAGAAAAATCAGGCCATGCATAGTGCTGTTTTTAAAAACACATGCATGCACATTGGAACAAAAATATAACTTTGATGTAAGTCAATATTTTCTTTAAGCTGCACATTCCATTCACCTGTAATTGGCCTCTAGCTATAGGCTAGATTTTGAGGCCAAATGGTTTTAGAATTTAAGGTTTGTTTTAATTTTTTATTAGGTGCTCTTTGATAGATACTACAGATAGCCATTGAAAAGGAAGTCAAATAAGTTGGGCTAGTGAGAAATCTATTGATATTCAAATAACAGTTCAGTGTCACTGTCAACTTCAGAATTGAATGTGACTTATATTAACTTATAAGTAATAAAGCTTTAAAATTATTTGTTTAAAGACGGGGAAAACCGACATGGGGCGTACTTTTAAAATTATAAAAATGAGGCCTAACCTGCTCTTGACTTTATAACAACTAAACTAAACTTTTCTTAATTAGGCTACTATATTCCAGAATTAGAGACTGCTTCTAGATTCTAGATCTACATTAATTCTAATAAGTAATGTTTACTGAATCTAAATTTCAGTACATTCATTGTAAAAACTGCCAACTAAGGGAGTTTTTCAGTTTAGGCCTAACATTCTCTTAAACTTTTAACTTTAGTGACAGTCAGTCATTTCAAGTCATTTGCCTTGGAATTCTAGCAGGAAAAAAAACACAAAATGTCTTCTTTCTAGTACAGCACACTTCTATTTTAATCCAGAACAAAATGAATTTCACATAAATAAGGCAAACCCGAAATCCTTAACGAGAAGAAGCCTCATGAGTGAAAATATACAATAGCCCTCAGAGTCGCAGTACCTTACTTAGTACAAGTGGGCGTGGCCCGGTGTAGGTTGCAATAGATCTACTGCTAAACAAGATGTCACACGATTACCAATATAAATCGTAATAGAATGTAAACAAAAAGATAATTAATCTAAAATCACCATGCTGGCCATTTGGCACTTTATATTTTGAATATTTTCGCCATAAAAACATGAATTAACTTACTAAAACCAATAGGATTTACGTTAACTCCACGTATACTCAATGCAGACCGGTGAGAAACAAATATGGCGATTGGGCGTGGACTTGAATTCGGCAACCCCTCTAGGAACAATTACTAATTCTGGCCAGGACAAAGTATGAAGTAGCTCATTTTTATTTTTAAAATGCACCGATAATTAACATATATAAAAATAATTAACAACTTAAATTCTGAGATTTAAGTAGCTTAAAATTTTTATTAATATTTATATCAAGTGTGTTTTAGTTATCTATCTTTTTAACACACTTAGAAATAAATAGCAAAATACTGAAAGCCAGCGTGGCATATAGTTTATACTATGAATTATGAATAGTAAACCATAACACGAATATTTATTAACGCCACAATTTTGTACACGTTTTTATTAATATCTAGATCTAGGCCTAGAATCTAGATTTAGATTTACAAGACAACTTAGATTTTAGATCCTCTTATTTTGATATTTAGCCAAAGATTAATATTAATGTTATATTAGGCGAATGTGAAATGAAACTGTCCTTTCTTGAGTAAAGGTTTTCATGAAATGAACAAAATGCACTAGGATCTTGAATCTAGATCTACGTCTGACCAAAATGAATATTATTAATCCATACTTTTCTTGTAATGTTGATCAGTACTATTCAAATCACGAAAGAGGTTCTAAGATTATTTTCCCCTTGCCAATTAAAATTTTAATCCGGCAACAACGTGATATTTTTGTGAGACCCGGAGTTTTTGAAAACAAAGATTTTATTTTTACATTACGTCCACAAGGCCTACTTAACTGAAACAGGGGAAACACTTAATTTTTCGGATGTGTGCCTTGGGATTTGCATACTGTGTTTTATCTAGTTTGAACATACAACCACAGTCCCACTTAGCAATAAATTCGGTTAAAGGTTTAAAAATTGTGGAAGTTAAGTTGCCTATGAAATCTAAAGATTAATATATTTAAAAAAACAAACAAAAAAAAACCAAGCTGTTTCCTTACAAATTCGGGGGGCGGCGGTAGATATGCTTCAAAGAGTTGCCTGAAACTCTGTAATAATCTGTAAGAGAACTGCGTGGAGTTTAAATAGAATCCAGCAGCGCATTGAAAGAGTGTAACAGCCCCCCCCCCATCAATACATATTGAGCAACTATAAAATAACCTCGAATAGATCTCTAAACCTCATGGTGCCTCTTTCTTCGTACTACAACTTCCCCAGAGTTTCTTCCAGGTACCTCTTCGGGGGGGGGGGGGGGGGGGGCGATAGACTTCCCCACGAAGGAAATGGAATTTATATAGAAAATATATACTTTTTACCAGTGTCCGCCACCCCCCCACCCCCCCCGGAAAATGTTGACCGCCCCCCCCCCTCCCCCCGGAGAAAAAAGTCTGGAAGAAACACTGCAACTTCCCACTTTTTAAAATCAGCGTTATGGAATTGCAAGGTCCGCACATATTTGGCCCAATCTATCAACTTACATAAAAACAATAATAAAAGCAAATATACTGTGTTCAAAATAAACAGATAAAGAATTGAATGTTTAGACTCAAGCTTGGCAATAAGCAGACTCTCTCTAATACACACACACACACACACACACACATATATATATATATATATATATATATATATATATATATATATATATATATTATATATATATATATATATATATATATATATGATGTACATGTTTGTGTATGCTTTTAGATTCTAAACTTCACACGCCCTGGACCGAATGACTCCACACAAGAGCTGTACAAAAGAAGATGTGAATTGACTTTGATTGAATGGAGTGTGTTGACATCCCGTCTGTACCACCTTGATGGCGTTGTGCTCGAACTTTGACCTGCATGAGTCCCAAGCACCCCCCCCCCCCCTCCCCCAGATCTCGAGGATTCTCCCCAGCCCACACACTCGACACGAACGTACAGGAGACAGGTATTAATAACTTGTCAGCTGGACCGCGCATTTACCTGTTTGTTTGTGAGCCTTTTGTTTTTCTGGGTCTTGTTGATTAGCCGTACCCACGCGCTGGTGTAGGCGGTATCGTAAGAAAAAGGTGCCTATGTTGGGTTGGGACTGATAAACGCTAGTAACATTTTAGCTATAAAATGTACACGTTATATAGGTACTACTAATCGACAGATATTTTTTGTAACTTAAAGATTTAATTTCCTCGACTACGTATTTGCTTGCATAGGCATATGACTATATGCTGCGAATAACAATAATATGGGAAACACATGTTTAAAAAAACAGTTGGTTATCAGATTCTTCAAGTATCATTTGAAAAAAAAAATCCATTAAATCTAAATAGAAAATATTTACTTTAACCAATGTGCGCCACCCCTCGGAAGTTTCAAGCCCCCCCCCCCCCACCCCCTTATACGAAATAAATGTCTGTAAGGAAGCCTGGTGGTGAAGTCTACTTGTCTGAAAATGTTTTCGAGTAGAAACAATGCGTGCAATGCATTCTACATTTCCAATTAGGTTTCTTTTCAGACATTTTTCTCGGGAGGGGGGGGGGGGGGTAGGATTTGAAGCTTCCACTGATTGATAAAGTGTATATTATTTTCTATACAGATGATACACTGTTTCTATTTCGTCGGGGGGAGGGGAGAAGAGAGGAGGGGGGTGGGAGACGTGCTTGGGGCGGGGGACATTGCAGGGATGGGGATGCGTTCCCCCACCCTACCCTTAGAGACATGCCTGAAAGAATATCTGACTGCCGTTTTATAAAAATGAAGACCCATCCTTTTTTATATTCAATTAACATTTGGCCAACAAGCCTTTCAATCTAGGTTATAAGGGCGAGAAACACTATCTTGATAAACCTATTAAACTAATATCAGTTATAT